GAAAAGCTGTTTCTCACATTCACAGACCTTCATCTAATCTTCCTATGGACTTGGACGGCTTCAGAGACAACCCTTACGTGAACTCACAGTTCCCTCTAATGTGTGATGACAGAGTATGGAAATTTCAACACCGACTGGATTCTGAGCTAAAGATGAAAACTTAAAAAAATGAAACGCTACATGGAGTCTCATGTTTCCCTTTGGGTATTAGTGTATTTGTAAATTAAGTTAGAACAACAGAAGCATCTTTTGTCCATTTTGCAAATGAAAAGAAACTGAATATCTCCAATTTGCTGTATTGCACCACTAGTAAAAAAAATAAAAAATAAAAATAAAGACAAACTGATGATTTAACAAGAAACATGAGTTTTGTAAATTTAGAAATATACAATGATACAAAATAGCTTTTTGCCCAGATGAAGAAGAACAACTTTCCTTTAGATATAGGACACTGTACAAAAGGTTTTTGATGCCAAAGCAATAGAGCGACTTGCCTTGGACATGAGTGAGATTCCTTTCTTAGGATACTCACGAGAAACTAAAGCGATTTGACTCTATATGAAACATCTGTTTAAGGTATTTCTCCCTAACAGCGTATCATCTCCGCTAAAGCAGTTTTGTCAGACTCTCAGCACGATAAAAATTCTGACCATTTAGTACGGAGACGTTTTTGCTTTATATCATCCTCAAATGTGTTTTTAGTCATTTCTCATGCTCTTAGCGAGTTTCAGTCATTTAAATGCTGTCGACAACCAGCATGCAGCTACAAACAGGCAAAGAGGTTTCGTAAGGGTAGATAAAAATGGAGTAAACTGGGGAGGGACATGAGCTTTAATGAGCATTGCTTATGCTCTGCAGAGAAAGGGAGAACAATTTCTTTAACTAGACTTATGTGTTGGCACTACATTCATTTTTCCAATTTGTTGTTTTGCTTTTAAAAAAACCCCACCATTGACAACTTTTTTGCATTAGTTTTCATTAGTTCCTCTCAATGGTATTGCTTCTGTTTTTTAAAGAGAGCACTCTAGTTGTTACTGCGGTGAGAGCAACCCATTTAAAATCCTCTGTCAGGTGTTTATTTGAATGACTTGTGACTGATTGTCTTAGAATATCAGTGTGAATGTCTTGAATATTCACAGATCAGTCAGAATTGTATGGCCAGATCTGTAGTTTATATATATATATATATATATATATATATATATATATATATAATTTTGATCAATTCTTCAGAAGAGCACTAAAGTGAGTTTTAGCCATGCTTCAGTGAGAGGTCACAAATAATTTATATTGTGAACATACACAACATCACTCTGCTGTGTTAGGGAGCAGTCGGTAACAGATTATTACTAAAGTTGTCATTTGGTGTGGAATTTACACTCTCATTTATACCTTCAATAAGTGGATGATGCAGACAGCAATACTAAAACTGTAGCCTCCTTGTGTTTGTTCCAGACAACAACCATTTTCCTTCCTGTTAGTTTCTGGACCAACTTCCAGGGCATAGAAGAGAAAAAGCGTCATATTTTTAGATTTCCAACCTGGAAGTCATTGATCAGGGCAAGTCAATAATGAACAATATATGGTTTCTAGATTATCATTTTGTTTTATATCTATGATAGAGAGAGCTCTAGAGCTAGAATTTCATCACAAAGCAAAAATGGTTCTACTTATGGAGACTGGGAATCACCAAACTCCATTTTGGTTGAAATTGTCAAAACTTCCATTAAAACTTTAATTTGAATTTATTGCTCCTTTGTTTTGTGATGTAGCACAGCCATCTACAGTTTTCCATTGTACGTGATATTGTGAAAACTTGCATGCATTCATACGGCAATAATAAAGCATGACTTGAATTGAATTAGTGCCTCACACTGCAAGCTAATGTACATCGGAGAGCTGCGAGAGTTGGTGCTTGGAAATAGTCCAAATGCAATAACATTTTTATCTGGATATAAACTGAATAAATTTAACTTAGCAAAGCTGCCAGTTATCAGAAAACAAACACTGGTGAGACATTCTACTATGTAAGCCTAAAAATTAGACAATTAAAATACTCCTTTTGAAATTACCTCTGTTGGAGCAAATTAAATAAAATAAAATGTGGCATGGGAATTTTTGATGGCTATGTTACTCAAATAAAATCAACCATTTATTTTTTTTAAGTCAAACTGACAAATTTGCTTTAGTCACAGCCCATCACAGTTACAGCAGACTTTTTGAATGTGATGCATAAGACAAAAAAAAATACAATATCTTAAGTCTTTATGTGCCTCTTTTCTGACTTGAAACAACTCACAGAGTTTGATCTTAAAAGCTGTGAGGGAGGGACTGAGACTGGTACAGCTGAAAGATCAAAACAGACCGAGGCTGATGAAAGAGCAGAGCCGGTGGTTTATAGCAAATGGAGGAAAAAGGAAACAGGAAAGAAACAGAAGCAGAAACTAAAACCTGGAGGGGCCAGCAGGCTTTGGCGCCTGGAGTGAGAGCTCTCATGTCACTGTGGTGACCCTGTGAACAAAACAAAACAAGAAAGGCATTGCTTCCAGGTACAGAAGCCCCGTGGCAGACATTATAAAAAGGTCAAGTGAGTCTGATGGAAGTAGAGAACTCTCAAATATGGGCACAGACTAAGTTAGAGAATGACAGATGAACCAAAAGTGACTCAACACCAGACAAAGTCTGAACTGCTTCTAATTCAAAACTAAAATTTCACATCTTGACAGAAAAGCAGCTACATGTACACATTGTTTTATTCCTTTTTTGGAGGGGAGGGGGAAACATATTTAAAAGAGTTAGGATTACTGGACTGAGAGGGCGATGAGCAAATCAGCTGAGTACACAGACTAAGCACAACAGCAATCAGGAAGCCATTGTACAGGATCTCATACCCTGCAATCTTCTGGGGTAATGTTGCTGCTGGTAACGTTAGTTTGTAACCCATGAATGCACAAATGAGCCTGTTGGCACACACTTTGCTTTTTACTTACAACTGGATGTGTAATACAGGATAAACAAAGGAGTCTAAGTGCAAATTTTCTTTTTTTATATAATGAAAATTTGAAACTCCCATGTCTATGTAATTGGTGTATCTGTAAAAGCCTGGTGAAAACACCCATTTTCTAAGTTTGACCAAATTTTTTATCTCTTGATTTTAACCCTCCAGCAGCTCCAGGACGGGTTGATTGGACCCTTATATTACTGTACGTGGACCCAGTAGGGTTGCACTGACCCCACTTGCACTTTTAAACCTTAATATTCCTAGAATAACAACCCTAAACAGGAAAAAACATATATAACCTAAGCTATCGATTCTTAAGTAAAAGTATTCTTAATATACATTCATATGTGAGCACATGAATAAAACAAAAGTTAGGAAAACCTGATATTTAATCTAAGTACACTTATTACTCTCAACAAAGAAAAGTACATTTTCTATTGCTTAATTGAAATCCTGTTAAGTTCACATTGGGAACTGAAGGGAAATATGAACATGAAACTTTAAATTTGAGTTTGGTCCTTTAGTAAAGGATTATTTTACTGTTTTTTTTAAAGAGTAAACCTATTTAAGAAAGCCTTGCAACATAGCACATGAGAATTGAGGTTCAAAGGACATTAAGTGGGTCTTCCAGGCTCATTGAAACATCATATGCAGAACAGAGTCAAGCAGGCGTGAGACCAAATATAGGGATCAATTACGTACTCAAATATGTGCCAAGGCTTCTTAGTTGGAGTATAAGTATACATTCTTATGCTAGATTTTTTTTTTCTTGCAGCAAAGGCTAAAAGATTAAGATAATTATTGTCTAGTGTCCTTGATGCAAGTGTATAGAAATCAGACAAAAGACGCTTTGGATCCAATTTGGGATTTTTTTTAAATAAATTTGGATTGCATTTAATCATTTCTCATTCACAATCTAAAATAGCAGAATATTCTAAACATTATTGCTTTTTATGGAATAATGATCACATCTTAATATTGTGGAGCAAAAGGTAAGGCTTAACTACATCATCCCAGAAAGACCAGGCCCCCTTTGCAAAGATTTATCTGTAATAAGGATTTTAACAAATATTTCAGTGCCAACAGATTTTATCATGTCTGTTTCTCAATTTAACAAATTCTTACATCTTAGAGCCTAACAGTACCTCAGTGTAGTACTGTGCACATCTGAAGGAATGTCGCCTCTTAGACCTCAAATATTTACAGAGAAATAGAGAAAAAGGACCTGATCCAACACATTAATAAACAAGTCTCTGCAAACCTATTTCTTGCATCTAACTCTAAATGAAACATCTTATATTTTGACCAAGAAAAGCAGTGGTGCCTCTAATTCAACACATTTCACATATTTCCAAGTTACAGTTTTGCTTCATGACTTTAGATGTATTATTTCTGTAGCGGTTTTTTCTCCCTTTGGAATTGCCAGCAGGGGTCTGACCATCAGAATGACTGAAAACATCTGCCTGACCAAAAAAAAAGAATAAAATAATGATGAGAAACGAATGGCTGGTGCGGAAACCATACATGATGCAAAGTAGTTTCCCATTTTCTGCCTGAAAACACTCTTATTTTACCATATGATAATGTGCTGAGAGTCGAACAAGAGGCAGAATTACGGAACAAGAATGACTTTATGGAGCTATTCTTTTCTTTCCTCTGTTGCATACACAACTAATTTAAAAGGGTGTTCTAGATTACCATATTGTTCTTAGATCATTTTCGTATGTGTGAGATGTTGCTGTATTTTTTGTTTGTTTGCTAAACATGAGAATAGATGCCTATCAGTCAAGTTTTGTACAGGATTTTAATTTTAGACTTTTCACATTAACCAAATTTAGCAATAAATGCCATAATTATAAAAATTATAAGGTTTTCAGATTTTCTGATGTTAAATACATCTTTGTTTCGCTACTAACCTTTAATTACTTACTTAACCAGAATGAGTATGAACTGTTTCAATTATCTTTTCAATTCAATTTATCTTTTTTTTTTCTACCAGAAATCTGCTGGACAAAGACACCTTCTCAAAGTCCGATCCTAGTAAGTACTTCATAAAGAAAAAAATGTTTCTGTCTGATTCTTGTATTATATGGCCTTTTTCATATTGTTTCTTTCTATGTTTGTAACTTCATTTTTATTTTTTTTTTTTACATATTTGTTAACACTATCACCAAGTTGTGACAGTATCGTATGAGACATAATCTGTGAAAAGATTGAGCATCGCTTCAGGTGAAAAACAACCAATCAGAGCCAGGATGAAGCTTTTAATCATATTTGTGTACATGCTGCTCAACATGATAATGGCAGAGAAACAATTTGTCTTATTAGAAAAATCATTTATCCACTGTCTTTGGTGTGTATTTGTGAAGATTACTAATTATTTTGAGAAAGCAAAATAATTAGTTTTTTTCACAGATTGTCTGTCTTGTCTTCTACTGTCATGACATATTTATAATTTTGAAGACGTCTTTTTTTTATATATATATAAAAACTGTGTACTGCAGGTTGAACGTTTTGCCGTCCTGTCATTTCTGAGAATCTTTGTTTTACTTTAAGAGCTATTACTTGAGTTCAACTTCTTATATTACCACTTTGTTTGAACTGGCTGTATTTTTTTTTATTTGGTCTTTCTCTCTGTTTTATGTTTCCAATGTTTCCTGCACAAAATATATTATTTTTATTGCTGTTTTGTACTTTTTTCCACCCCACAGTGTGTGTACTGTATACGCAGGGTGTTGAAACCAAACAGTGGAGAGAGGTGAGTGTGCACACAATCACACACGTACGTCAAAGAAATGAATCCTTCCCAATTAAGCTGCAGTAGTTTGGTTAAGACATAGCATTTCAGTAGCTGTTTCACTGCGGGCTTACAGCAGTTTATTATACCGATTTATTAAAAGCTTCTCAAGCATCATTTTTCTGAAAATGTCAGAGAAACATCCGACTAATTGGGGCTTTAAAGCAAAAGAAAAAGAAAAAAGAAAGGGATGATCAATATGTTGGCATTTTGGGGACTAAAAAGCTCTCTGTCGAGGGATTAAAACTATTCTCATTGTACTTGTTTACTTTATGAAGCTTATTTAGAATGAGCACCAGTTCTCTCTTTGTCATACGATCTATTTGCTTGCCTTGTAAATAGCCATAATAATGTAGGCAGGTATCAGCATTGACGCTGCTTATCCAGGGAACAGAAAAGAGGAGGGTTTAAAGTAGTTACAAATAAACAACATACACAAGTGGACAACTATACCTATATGTATTTCTTATTTTAGGTATCTAATTATAGTGGGACTTTGTTATAAATAAGAAAAAAAAACTTCTAGTTGTGAAAAAATACTTTTACATGAGTCTTGATGAGAAGAAGCAACAATTTCATTAAAACCTTTCGAGTTGAGAACAAGCATGTGGTCAAAAGAGTCTGTCAAGTCTGCTCTATCTAACAGTTTATTCTGTTCTTGGTTCTGATCAGTAAATCTTCTGACAGAAGGTTGTCACTGTTAGTGGCTGCTTCCCATCACAGGGAAGAGACGGAGCTGTAGGTGTGACGTTGTGGATTGTTGTGCACCAAGGACTTTGTGGAGCTCAGCACAGGTCATCTTGGCATCTACCTTTTGTGAAGAAAAAGGGGTCTGTGTTTGACGTTAAAGAGGACAACTTTGATACGTTCTGAGTACAGGGAAAATTAGGCCTGAGAATCAGATCAGTCCCCTGCTGTTTGAAAACACCGGGTATGTAAAATGGACTGAACTTATATAATGATTTTCAATCATTTTGACCACTCAAAACATTTTACACTAGAGTCACCTTCACCTAATCATAGCCAATTTAAGTGCCACATTGAGATGTGCCAGGACAAATCT